GATTTAAACTATTATCTGTCATTTCTCAATTTCTGAAACTTTGTATCAAGCTGACAACTGACAGGAGTACCATTTAGGTCAGAGTGAAAACAATAAAAAAAAAAATCATACCTTTAGTCTATTGTATTTTATAAATTGAGAGACCTTAAAGCAAGGGTTGGTGAACTGGGGCTCATAGGCCAAATTTGGCATCCTGCCTATTTTGGATGGCATGCGAGCTAAGAATGGTTTCTATGTTTTTAAATGTTAGAAAAAGTCAAAAGAATAATCATAACAATATTTTATGATGTGTGAACATTCTATGAAATTAAAATGTTATTGCTCATAAATAGTTTTATTAGCACACAGTCATACTCATTTGTTTATGTATCACCTTACTGCTTTTACATAGAGACTGTAAGATGTTGACAGCTTAAAATATTTTCTATCTGACCCTTTACAGCATAATTTTGCCAAACTCTGTCTTAAAGTAATATATGATTTATGTTTTTGTCACTATGTCTGTTTAATGTGTATTTCCAGGATGCTTTGCTACTCATCAAAATGAATTCTCACCTTGTTACATTTGTTTTTTTTTTTTTTTTTTAAGATGAGGTCTCTCTATGTTGCCCAAACTGGTCTTGAACTCCTGGGCTCAAGTGATCTTACTGGTTCAGCCTCCAGAGTAGATGGAATTACAGGCAAATGCCACCATGCCTGGCTACATTTTGTATTTTTAAATATCTACCATTTTTCATGAACTTATGAAACTTCTTTTAAATTCATTTTGGAGAAATATTTTATTATTTTCTTTCCTTCCTTCTTTCTTTCTTTTTTTTAAGCAGGGTCTCACTCTTTTGCCCAGGCTGGAGTGCAGTAGTACAATCACAGCTCACCGTAGCCTCGATCTTCTGGGCTCAAGTGATCCTTCAACCTAGCCCCCTAAGTAGCTGGGACGATAGGCACAAGCCACCATGCCTGGCTGTTTTTGATTTTTTGTAGAGATGAGGTCTCACTAGGTTGTCCAGACTGGTCTCGAACTCTTGGGCTCAAGCAGTCCTCCCGCCTCAGTCTCCCAAAGTGCTGAGATTACAGTCATGAGCCAGTGTGCCTGGTCATATTTTATGACTTTCTATAGTTCTGTCTAGGGCTCATTTCCATCTACTTGATGGTTTGATTACTAAAAATAAGTCAATTGGAATTCTGTAATTCTGAAAAAAATGCATAATCCATAAAGGCAATAATATTGCTATTATTAATAGTGCTCTCTATTCACCAGAAAAGAGCATAGGCTCTTTTGTGTATAGGCTGTTACACACAAACCCTATTAGCTGGTGAAGATTTCATTATACCTGGTTTGGCTAAACTAAACAAAGCTTCCCTTGACTCTGAGCTACACATACTGCCTATTCAGGAGAAAGATTCCATAAACTCACACTTCTAGTCCCTAGATTCAACTCCTCATAATTTGACTCAATTCTTTGAAGACCAATCTATTGCTGGTTATTGTTCTCATTCAACATGATCTGAAGTCAACTGAATTATATTTAAGGGCCCTTTTGGTGGCATCTATGATTCTGTGCAGCTGAATATGTTTGATTATTCCCTAGGAAATAGTTTTGTTCTTCCTTTGTTTGTTTAGGCAAGAAATTGTTGCAAGATATCCAGAATGTTAAGTGATTCTGCCCCAGAGCATGTGTTAGAAACTATAAGGAGAGTTTTATGACTTTCAATTCTAAGAGGTTTTTCAGTTTGGATTTCCAGAATTGGTTGTGTTCATGCTTCTTCTCATCCTATTGGGACTTATTGTTGTTAGCAACCTCTTGTGTGGTTCTAAGGTATCCTGACCTCTTTGAAACCTCTCCAGGTGTAATTGCCATGTTCTTGATCTCTGCAATGTAAGCTGCATTGTTTAGTGGAGTTAAGTTCCATGAACTTTAGAAATCCTCCCTGAGACTATGAATTGACTAACACCCAAAGTAGCATAAACATGCAGACACAAATGTTCCTAAAACCCAGCTTGCTGGGCAATGCAGGATATGACTTGGAGTCTGGAAAAAGGAACATTTTGCTCACTTGTGCATCTATGACTAGGTCCAGGTGCAGTTTGAGACTAAGTGGCTAGTTTTTCTGATCCTCAGAGGTAACCTTTCATTAGAACACAGCAGAATTTGCAATTGTGAATGTAAGGAATTCCATAAAGACCCTCTGGGCCCATTAAGACCTCTGGCTTCAGAGAGTCCTATAAAACACACTTACTTTAGCATAACATAGATATAGTAAAGAGACACTGTTCTTTACAAATGTCATCTAGGCTTTAGCCAAAGAAGATTATAATGACTGCAGTTTGTCTTAAAATTTGCATTCAGAAGATGCAGTTACAATTTTAAAAGAAAAAATAAAATTTATTAGATACCTGACTTACGTTTCCAGTTTGTCATTAAAAGGCTCCTATCATTTTTGATAATACTATTAACATTTTGCAAGCGTTCATACTTGGACTAAGAATCCCCCATTAGTCTAGCTTTAGATATGGCCTACTATACCAGTGATTTCTCAGGTCTTTTCTTAAAGCTTCACTGCTTGGCTATTCTAACAGACAAATCATGCTGCCAAAGCATAGGGGAGTAAGACAATATTGTGGAAATGGCACTATATCAAGAATCAAAAGATAAGGGATTCAATTCCAGTTCTACCACTACTCAACATTTCTATTTGTCTCCATTTCTCTAAAATAGGCATAACAAATAGTACAAACTACACAGGGATGCTGTGAAAACAAACTACAAAATAGGCCTTGAATAAGTACAAAAAGGTCTTGAAATAGTACACAGGAGCACAAATGTGAAAGGTGTACTGGTGATAGTGGCCGTCCTCTCGTCTTTCCTGTTGACCTCTTCCCCACCCAGAAACTATGTCTATAACATCAAGACTCCCGTACCCCATACTCCTGAGGCAGCTGTTCTTATCATCATCCTTTCCATCCTGGCTCCAGTGTCTAGGGAATCCTGAGGCTCACTAAGGGTTATACTAGCTATACATCTTCAAATTCCTCTGCTTTAAGGCATACAGAATGGCATAATGAACACTGAAGACTCAGAAGAGAAAGGGTGAGGGAAGGGATGAAAAACCAGGTACAATGTGCAGAGGTAGGGATGGAGGGTTCACTTAAAACCCAGACGTCTTCACCACTATACAATTCACCCAAGTAACAAAAAATCATTTGTTAAAAATTAGCCGGGCGTGGTAGTGCACGCCTGTAGTTCCAGTTACTTGGAAGGCTGAGGTAGAAGGATTGCTGGAGCCCAGCAGGTAAATGCTAGGGTGGCTGTGAGTGTGCTACTGCACTCCAGCCTGGGCAACAGAGTGAGACTCTGAACCCCCCCCCAAAAAAATCATTAATCATTTGTACCCCCCTAAAGTCATTGAAAAAAAAAATCCCTCTGCTTTGCTTTCTATTGGCTAAGGCCTGCAGCTTGCTGTGTGTACATGGGTAAAGTGACTACAGGTACTGTGTACAATCACACATTACTGCAGCTCCTCAGAGACTTCTTTCTTGCTACTAATAGTTCATTGCTGGGAATGCAATTGCCATGGAAATTTTAGAAAATCTAAAAGGCTATATAACAAGTGTTAACATGGGTTATGCCTAGGTGTTTGGAATTAGAAGTTGTTTTGTTTTGTTTTGTTTTTTTTTGGTCCATATATTTGTATGCTCTCACTTTTGAGAGCATCCATAAGAAAAATAATTGAAAATGTTATCTAATTTTGAAATAAGCAAACATCCTTTACCTATGTTACAAGGAGCAAACTACTTAAAAACTTTTAATATGGAAATTTTTAAAGAGAAAACTTTAGAAAATAAGGGCATATGATCACCCTAAAAATATGATTAAAGGGGCAGGAGGAGTGGGCAAGAAAAAAGATGAAAATATCACACCTTCTAAAAAATTTATGAAAGAACTTTTGCAAAAAAAAGGTTTACATAGTTTTAATGTCTTGTCAGATTACTTTGAACTAAGTAAATATATTTAAATAAAAAATGTCACTATACGAATAGTATGGAAATCTGATGAAAAAGCAAGTAAAAAATCAGAGTCTAGCTACCCTCGGAAGAAGCCTGAGGATATAATGTATTCTGAAGCTGGTCTATAGACCAGATGGGAAAACTTGTTCTCTAATTGAATGACTTTCTTTTAATCACAAGCAGACAGTGGTTTCTTTATTACCCAGAGCCTTAGAAATACATTATTCTTGAGAGTACTTCCTAGGATTTCTTTTACTCACTTAAGACCACATCTTTGTATTTAATTCATTATCATCATATTATCCCTGCAGGGCACATATCTCTAATTATTCCCATCTAAAGTGACAGGAAAATGGAATTATACTACTTGGAAAACAGACACTCTTTGGTTTGTCTTTTCTCAGAGTTCCCTTGGGCATAGTTTGTCATCGTCCTCATTGTGTCAGAGATTGGAGATGTCCTTGGAGGGCAGGGACCATGAACTACCTGTCTTTGAATTCCCAGTGCCTAACATGTGCCACAGAGTATGAATAAAGGAAAAATCTGAATAAATGAATGATAATGCCCAATGCATACTGCTTACAGTATATTAAGCACTAGTCTAGTGCCGTATATGTATCAATTCATTTAGTCTTCACATCCCTATGATATAGGCACTATTTTTATCCCCATTTTACATTTGAGAAAACTAAAGAGCAGGAAGTAAGTGAAGTTTACACAAAGCCAGGATCCAAACTTGGCCCTAGGGTCATCCTGGTCATCACTGTACCCTGCTGCCTCACTAGCACCCGTGCTAAACAGGAAAACTCCATTCCAAGAGCAGCATGTGCTTCCATCTCTAAACACTTCTGGGTTTCCGTCAGATGTAGCTACACTGTGTGGTTTCCTTGGGAGACTTAAAAAGGGAAATAACTGGACACAGGCATACGCATGAAGAATAAATGAATCTCCAACCTTAACAATTGCTGTGTTTGTAAGGCTGTTTCTCAAATACCTGTGGGGATTTGTGGGAGCGCCAGCTGTACTGGTGACTGTGGAGACTCGCCAGCAGAATATTTTCATCAGTATCCACCTGGCCAAACCGCAGTGTCTCCTGTGTGTCATTACAGATCACAAAATGGCTGAAGACCAACTCCTCTACCTCAGGGCATTTGTTCTGAAAGGAAAAGAATACCAAAGCCAACGTGTATCAGATTAATTGCAAGATGTTTGGCAGCTGTCTGCCCAGTGGCGATTGTTACAACACAGAAACCCTAAAAGATCTGTTGTCATTAGCTCTGGTATATAAAGTATTCTGTATTTCCAGGACAAGCACACACAAAAAATACCTTAAAGAGATCTTAAATGTTCCAAGAATGTGTTTTGATTTATACTCCTACAAAATAAATCATACACACAGAAGAGTAAAAGAACAATGAGATCCCTCAAACTTTTAACATTTCTTAAAGTGAATTAACATGTTACAAAGAGTGCTGTACTTGGGTAGTGCACGTTTTTGAGCAGAGTACTGGAGGCTAGAATTACCATGTTCCCAGCCTTCTAAACTCGACAATCAAGACCAATTACCAAAGCCACAGTTTGTACCCTACAGAAAGTAAGGATCATTTAGGTAAAACATCCCCAGATCCCTTAAGGGGGAGGGTGGATATGAGTGCGTGTAAATCTGTTCTGGGAGAGATGTAAATAAAACCATAACTTTCTCTCTATTGTTAAGAGGCTGAATATATAAAACAGATCAACTCCAGAGTCAGTGTAAGCCAAGTTGCAGTTTTCAAGATAAATAATGTTAGTTGGAAAACAGTTTTCAGTATCTGTTTCAGCTAATTGTCATCAGTCAGCTAATATCCTTCATTAATCAGTGAAAGCTCAGCAAATAAGCAATCCATTTCTGCGTTGATACCTCCTTTCTCAATTTAATGGTGTCTTCACTGTTGCTGTTACCTCAAAGCACTGGCAAAGTGGTAAAGTATTTCTGTGTTTACTCTTTTATCACTTTGGTCAGGTTATGGCTTAAAAACAATAAACATGCTTTTGGTAAACTAAAAGAATAGCTAAATAAATAATTAACTTGAGAATATTAGAAAAAATCATAACTAGCTAATCAACTTACAGATAATGGGAGATAATAAATAATTGATGCTTCTCTAGTTGGCCTCTAGTGCCTGGACCTAAGTAATGTCCACATGCCACGCTCCATCATTTGCCCCTTTACTGAGGGGAGGGAGAGTAAACGGAGATTCAACTCAAGCATAATGACTCAATGACTGGCAGGCACAAGGCCAAGGAATCTCCAGGTGAATGTACCTGGAATCCAGCCTGGACCAAGACCAGCTTGAACTTCATCAGGGGACAGACTCACCTTGGAAACAGAATCTATTCCTAGTTCATCCAGAATGCTCCTGAGGTGGGTGGGCAGTACTTTATGCTACACGTGTTGAAGTGCCCTTGACATACCTCATTCCTCCCTTGATAACTTCTAAGCTCTCTATCATCCATCTATTCTTTTTTTTTGAGTTGGAGTCTCACTCTGATGTCCAGGTTGGAATGCAGTGGCAAGCTCACGGCCACCCCAGCATCAACCTGTGGGGTTCTGGCGATCCTTCCGCCTCAGCCTTCTAAGTATCTGGAACTACAGGTGCGTGCTACTACACTCTGCTAATTTTTAGTTTATTGTAGAGACGAGGTCTTGTCAAGTTGCCCAGGCTGGTGTCAAACCTGAGGGCTTAGGCAATCCACTCGCCTTGGCCTCCCAAAATGCTGGTTACAGGCTGAGCCACTGACTCTGGCCCATCCATGTATTCTTACTGAACTGAATCTTGCTTGACAGTCACACTAATCACCAAAAGAGTTTCTAGCTAAGCGACCCCAAAGCATTTATAACCCACAATTACCTCTTGTCTATCATAATACTCTCTGCTGTGGCTTTTAATCATTAGTGCTGATTTCAAAACTTACCTGCTGTTGGGTTTTGGATGTCTTGTCCTACCTGGCCACTGCCCACGGCTCCAACTGCATTTTGAGCTATTCTCCATTTGCTGGGGGCATTTGCTCAGGACATTCCAGTTCTAACAGTCTTCTCTAGCTCCTCCAATACTACACTGGTTGCCTTTCAATTCATCCAATATGTCAAATGATTTCCTGCCTCAGAACTTTCTCTCTGCTTGAACCTCTTTTCCTCCACCTCTTGCCTGACCAACCTGTTTCTACTCAGCTTCCAGGTGTCTGTTTTAAGATCAGTCCTCAGCAAAGCCTTCTGAGATCCCCTCCAGATCAAGTTAGGTTCCCCTATTCTATGCTCACATACCCTACTAGATGTCACTTTCAGAGCACTGGTTAATTATACCATTATGAGTTTAATATTGTCTCCATCATAAAACTCTATGCTGCAACTAGGTCTGTGTTATTTACAGTTTTATCTGCCAGTATCCAATATATTGCCTGGTCCATAGGGACCATAAATAGTCAATAGACACCTAGAAAACAAAGAAAAAAGTAGATTTAATATCTGAAGTAGGCTGGGCATAGTGGCTCAAGCCTGTAATCCCAGCACTTTGGGAGGCCCAGGGGAGAGGATTGCCTGAGCCTAAGGGTTTGAGACCAGCCTGGGCAACTTGGTGAGACCTCATCACTACAATGAATCAAAAAAATTAGCCAGGCATGGTAGCAGGTGCCTGTAGTTCTGGCTACTTGGAAGGCTTAGGGAGAAGGATCACCTGAGGCCAGCAGGTTGACGTTGGGGTGGCCTGTAAGTGAGCCACTGCACTCCAACCTGGATGACAGAATGAGACTCTGCTCAAAAAAAAAAAAAAATCTTAAGTTATCATTGTAATGCATGTTCACTATACAAAAGTAAGAAAATATAGGGGAGGGAAAGGGGAAAGAAAAATTAGAAAATATAGAAGGTATAGATTTTAAAAATCTTTAATTTTATGCTCATTGATAACTGCTTTTGGTAATTGGTCTTCAAGCAATCTTTTCTCTTATGAGTGTCCTGCCTGTTACTATTCTAGTCTATCCTAACAATCCTATCTTATCTATTTTTCTACAAACCTTTAATCAAACTGGAATCCTAGTGTACAATTAGTTTTAATGAGATTTTTCCACTTAGCATTATATAATCAACACAAACTGCTCTCCTTCTAAACATTTTTCTCTCCTTTCAGTCTAAAAGTACAGACATGAAGAAAGGGATATGATTCCAATCTCCCACTTAGCTACACATCCTGAGATTAAAATTCAGTTTTCATAATGAATTGGGATCAATCTGCTAGTAACACAAAGGTTAAGTTACCAGATGGCGCTTGAGTAGAAAAAAAAATCATATTACTTTCCTCATCTCTAAAAGCTGACCCTTAATAAATGATGAAGGTTTTAGGAAAAAATGTAAATTAAAGAACACAAGGGGGTTGTTTACATTTTTCTAAAGGATACTCAAAGTCTTCAGGGAACAGTTTCTCTATTGCTCCCTCATCTGTGGAGTTCATTATAACTGTAATAAGTTTAAGCATTTCTTGGAATGTTTTAAATTCTGTTATAGCATAAAAAAGTTCATACGCATTTTATGTGACCTCATATACTCTGAGTCTTAGAATGCTCAGTTGGAGTTATAATTAAATGATGGCTTATTCACATTTAAATCTTGTGGAGTGTTGTACAGGCATTTGCAATTAAAAAGAGATACCATTTTGGTATAAAAGAACGCATATGAGTATAACCTTTATATTTAAAAAAACTCTTTAAATACTATTTTGTCCAAATCTAGGAAAAACCAAAGAGAAATTTAAAACAAACTGCAATTGGGATTTTGAATTCCTAATTTGTTTTCACAAAACAGTCATCATTTATTAAAAAAAGAAAAGAAAATCTACAGCCAGAGAAATCAGACACTGATGAGGACTTCAGTTAATCTTGAACTCATGACCTAAAGGTGGAAGGCCAAATTGTTTCATGCTTTAACTGTCTGGTCCATCTACATTGGGTAAAAATGACTTGTCTCTGATATGAATCTAATAGAAAGTATGCGGAAAACTCAAATCACTTTGCCTGCTTATTAAATTCATATTTTTCCCTGGCAAGAATTATACTGTACGTGAGCATTATACACACAATAAAATCCAAGTTTGGGAAACTAAACTTCCCCTTCTAAAGGGGATAAACCACATTTAGAACATCTTAGAAACAATGAACTTAATAAACCTCTATAAGCCCACTTCAATGTCAAATGTCCTATGATTTCAAAGTAGTGCACTTTCATATTTACTTTAGAATACACAGGGTTAGGTGCCTACCACATTAAAACTTGGTGGCAAGTACCCTTGACATGGGAGGAAACAAGAAAATTACAGCAACAATTACAGAAGTATATCCTCTCGTGGCTCATGTTAACATTGCCAAATCCCTGTATAAATCAGAACCAACTATTCATAGAATGTACCTGTCAGCAATATGCTACGTGACATATGGCTCTACTTAATCAAATATACAATTCTATTTAAAAAAAAACTCAGAATATTCCTTCAAGGCACTGTGTTAGCCAGTCAGTCATTCACACTCTGATGTGGTTTAAAACATTTAAATATTTATGCACCATATTTTATTTATATGTATAGCTATGTCTAAAAGAATATTTTTACCCTGTGAGGAAAATGATATTTCTGAAGGCCATTTTGCAGTAGTTGCTACACACAAGTCCTCTTATAATGGCTCTGATACCAAGACAAAAATATCCTGGACTTAAATGCTCTATCAATGACTCTTTTATATTTTCTAGGTTTGTTTTTTATTAAATGCATTGTTCAAAATATGACAAAAAAACAGAAATTGGAGCCATGGAGGTTTTTTTCACATGACTATTTGAACCAGCTGCAAAGATTTAGATCACACTAGCTCTTATTTTACGCATGTCCTTTGCAACAAGAAAACCATGGAATGCCCTTAAAAAAGATTTTAAAAATATAAAACAGATGTGTTATCTTCTTTCCTTCTGCTATTGTAGTGCCATGTTAGGTAATTAATTCCTTAGTCTTGTATAGGTCTTCATGCATGTAAAGAAAATAGTTGATTCCCATAAAAAATTTTAAGTAAGAGAACTAACCCTCCTGCCCCAACACACAAACACACACAAATTACCCTGTTACTGAAAGAGGTCAGTGTGGAATTTAGTGTGGAATGAAGTGTTCATTTCTCTTGGGGAGCCAGCTTTACACAAATGTATGTAACATATACAAAATGCAAGGAAATGTTTCAGCCTAAATAGCAACACAAATGTGATGGAAATACAATATAACACTGAAAATCAGTAATGGAAGCAGAAGTTATTTGCTCCTAAATCACTGAATATACTATCATCCAGATGTTTCATGAAGTTATTTTCAGGCTAGTTGACTTGGACAGATTTATCTTTTTGAATATTTCATTTATTATAGACTAATATTTCATCTCATTTTGGATATGACTAATTTCTGATAAAAGACAAAAGTAAAAAGTTATTTAAAAAATCAAGTCTCTGATAAAAAAATCTATTATCCATTGCTTTTCAGGGTCTCAAAAAGGAAAAATGATAGTAGAGGAAAAGATTAAGACTATACTGTGCTCATATATTTCATCTCACTGTTTTGTTTGTTTGTTTGAAAAGATGGAATGCTTATTGTCAAAAAGGCTCACAGAGGTTCTTCATTCTTACAATGGACACTTAGACAATTTGATACATAGCTTAGTTGAAGGGTTGGCAAACTAAAGCCACAGTACTCTGAAAAAATTTCTGGAAATATGTTATTTTCCACACAGATGTGGTATATTAGTCACAAAAATGTGGGCATGACCTCCAATGCATGTATAGAGAACCCATATTCTCCAAAAGTTTTTCAAAAACAACACTGATTACCTTGCCAAAATAGAGAAGGTCCCCAATAGTATGGTGGCCATCAAATTCTTTATCCTCTCTCATTTTTGTTTGTGTGTAACTTATTATTAGGAATGATAACATACAGGACCTAATAAAAGATCATATAAGTGGCCAAACTGTAAACTGTTCTGGCATGTGCATACCTGTTGCCAAGCTTGTACTGCAGTGTTTAGAGAATGGACAACATGCTGTCCAACATTTACAAATATGGAGTCAACTATCATGGTGCAGTCAAGCAACTTTTCTACTGCATCGCTGGAAACTGCAATCTGTCCGCAGATGCTGAAGGGTTTTACCACGCTTTGCATAGTGACATTTCTGCACTCTAGAAGTCTGCAGTCTGCTTGAGCTGAGAGCCGGATCTCCTGAGAGACAGAACCATTATTCCACTGTCGAAGATACATGTGTGGTTCTCTGAAGGAAACAATCATATATTCTAGCTCAGATGGCACATTTCTATCAGAAATAAATGGCTTTAGGTACTGTGGTGTAGCTGTTGAGAAAACAAACAAGAAAAACAGCAATTTAGATGAACCAATACTTTATGAAAATAGTGAGAGGACATTTAAACTATTCACTTTTTGATTATTGAATTTAGTATTTGGTGTCTAATAAACTCAAATATTCTCTTGAAGATATTACAGTCTTTGAATTACCATTTTATATTTGCAACCAAATATAAATGTTTTGTTCAATTAGGTCTCTTAAATATATACTATCCAAAGGTTAATTTCACTTTCATAGGCAAAAAAAATTGATCATAGAAGACAACAAATAAAATCTAAGGAGGGTATTATGGAACTGCTTTGTATCTACCAACGAAATCTCAAAAACAAAAACATGATTCAAAGAGAGTTAGAAAAAAACATAAGCTCCATTTTTGCTGAAAAAGCAAGATGCTTAACAGCAGCTGTGTTTGGTTTTAATCTGATTTCCCCCCTTTTTCCATTACATGTAGGTTGAAAATCTACTATCTGAATCAAAATATATTAACTAGAAAAGGTTTGTTATAGAATATAATGCTATTCAAGTAAAATCAGCAACTTTATAAAAGGCCACTTTTGGTATGTGGAACACTTATATCTTCCTTGTAAGTGTGTAAAAATGAGGCACCTTTAAATTAATTTGAGAATGCACCCATCTTTTGTAGAAGTTATTTATGCTTTTGAAATCAGGCAGTATCAAGTATCACTGGAATCTATTTGCTACTAAGGTCATGTCTCTGGAAACGGAACAAAAGCAGATATACTGCAAAAGGATCATAATTGTAATAACAGTAAAACCTGCAATTTTGGTAACTTCCTTGAGAACTCTCATTAGGAAGCATGCAGAAATATGTCAGCTCAATACCATTGGTAACTTACATAATAGGTCCATAAGCTGTTTCAAAAGTAAGGGGTACACCTGTTGTACCAAATCAAATCCAGAACAACTTTGCTTGCTTTATACCGCTGGAAAATAAATTATCTGAGTAAAGATTAATGAATTTTGTCTTGAGAATACTCAAGTGAAAACAGTAAGTATTAAGTGGATGTTATTCTGATGCTGAAGTAAACAGTACCTGTGCCTAGTTGATCAAGGTGATGACAAAGACGGAACTCCAGGTGAGCAAATTGGAAGGAAAGGCAAAGGGATGGGACAAACCATGGGGTAAAGCAGGAGTCGACTCTGGTACAGGCAGCCAGGGCTGTTGGAGTTACAAGTGGATCACAAGTGCTTTGAGAACCAGATTCACTTGCAGAGCTATGAGAAACAAGTAATGAAAGAAGTTCAATAACCTCAATTTAATATTATATATGTGAAGTGTCTTTCTTTAAAGCTAGTACCAAAAATCCTATTGTCAATATGTAATCAAATCTTCTGTATTTTTCACATATACTAGTCATTTAAAAAAATGAATTCAAGTTGATCATTCTCTGACTTTTCTCAGAGAATCTTCAAAGGATCCCTCAACCCCCCAGGTCGTGTTGACCTAACTCCAATTCAACTTTCTTCTATCCACATCTCACATAACTTATGGGCAATTTATTTTCACATTAGCTTAAGACCAACACAATTCAGAGCATGACGCTGCAGCTCAAAAAACCCAATACTTTCAGTGTCACCATACATGTTTCACTTTTGTTTTACTTCTCCAGATTGTCCATACTCATATAAGTCAGTCAATATTTTTTATTCAATGCTTACTGGGTACTGTACTGGGTGCCATAAAAGTTACGACTATATCTAGAAGAACGAGGTCCCATGGACAATTACACTACATGGGTCCTTTCTTCACCTGCCTATCCTCTTAACAACATTTCATACAAATAAAATCTGATTAAAATGAATAGTGACGCCAGCAATAGAGAAGATGTCTGTACACGGTGGCTGCTGATGTGCAGAGAAAGCCTCCTGCTAGATTGCATCAGTGCTAGTAGAAGCACGAGAGCTGAGAATTTGGGGTTGGGGTCGGGGGAGAACAAAGTGCATTCTGTTAATTGTGGCTCCATGGATAGATATAGCCCTTTCCCCCACACTGTTTTCCATCCTCTTCTTTTCAACCTGAAATTTGCTCTGCAGCAATAGTAGCCTGGCTCCTAAATCCATGAAGAGCTGAATAACAAACGGTATGATTTACAGTGTCCTAGGGAGAACTAAGACAGGAAAAACTGAAGAAATAAAGCTTTGGTTTTCAAAGAACTCACAGTCTAACTGGTGATACTCAATATATAGACATTTACAAATATTACAAAACAGTACCACTACTCAGGAACAGGAAAGGCAGAAGTGCAGCCAGAGAGGAAACTTAAGAGGCGCTCACAACGACCTGGGGTGAATCATGTTGGATTCTCCAAGGTGTGAATCTTCAGCTGCGTTTTGAAAGAGGTTGTGAAACAGGCTAGTGAAAATGAAAGCTAGGAGCATTCCAACATGTTTACTGAGTTGTTTAACCTCAAAGAGTTTACAGTTATGTGGTGGTATTTACTGCATTGCTAGTAAATCTCCATCACACACACAAAAAACCAGACTCTGGGGCACTAGGTTATTGACTAAATGCTATGCACAAAAAAATGTAGCTAAGTATAGTCTTATGACATCTATAAATGGGCACACTGATCCAAATTACTTTCTAGGAATTTATCTGTGAAGTTACAAATAAAAGATTTCATAGCAAGATAAAATTAAAACTTGTATTTATTCAGAAAGAGCTAAATATATTAGTTATACATGTGCTTTACATATTTAAACTCTTTCACTTATACTATTTACAGAAGTTGTTAGAAACAGGGTACAATGTTAGTCAAAATATTATTAAAAATCCAGGCAAGAATTTTATGAGATCAATTTTTAAAAAGCGAGTGCATAATTTGAGGTGTTTATCTGAAGTATTTTTCTTGCCAGTCATAATTTTTGACACTCTGAGATTTTCCAAGATTTATTTTTCTATCTCTTGGCAGATATAACATATTGGAAAAGGTTGCTAAAACATTGTAAATGTCTGATACAATCTTTACTTATAACAAATTGATTAAGTCTTCACTTTTACTAAATTAAGTGCACAAATCAATGGTTGGAGATACTTTTAGGTATTTATGGTAACTACTAAATCATAAAATACTCTAATGGCCAGCAAATACTCTTTCAATCATGAAATCCTTGCTAAAATGATTACTAATTTAACTCAAAAATTTAGGCTCTCATTTAAAAATTGAAGCCAAAAGTAAAACATTTCTTAAACACAAAATATAGTATAAATAATCCAAATATACTTTAACTATATTTTGAATTGGTACATTTATAGTTTTTGATACTCAATTTGATTACTATTATATACTATAAAAGTGCATGTATCTGTTTACCTTTTACATAAGAATTAAGAAGATGTAAATGTAAAAGGACTAAGTAGTTATGAGAGACAATCCTGTTAGAGACTTATAATAGCTATATTTACATAATTTCCTTAATTAGATACAACAATGGACTTTGATCTGGCTTAGATATCAAAAGGAAAAACATAATTTATGATATGTATAACAGGCAGAAATAGAGAAGTTAAAAGAGTAACTTGGTGAGGTGCAGTGGCTCACGCCTGTAAACCCAGCACTTTGGGAGCCTGAAGAAGGAGGATTGCTTGAGGCCCAGAGTTCCAGATCAGTCTAGGCAACATAGCAAGACCTCGTCTCTACAAAAATTAGAAAATTAGTCAGGTGTAGTGGCACACACCTGTAGTCCCAGCTATTTGGGAGGCTGAGGTGGAAGGATTGCCTGAGCCCAGGAGATCAAGGCTGTGGCAAGCCATGATCGTGCCACTGCACTCCAGCAATCCAGTGCTGGGCTTACAGGTTGAACCACCTACCCCGCCCAAGATTTATGTCTGAATGGCTTAAAAAACTACCCCCCGCCAAATTACCCCGATAATCTAGATAGCTCTAAAAGTGCAGATCAGAGTAGCCAAATAAAGAGGAATGATATCTTGAGGGCCACAGTCACCTTCTGGTAGGACAGAGTTTAACTAGCAGAGAGGACAGAAATGTTTCAGGGACTCATACATCATTGCTTTCTCTGATTTCTCCACTGTCTATGTACATAACAATCAAGGCTTTGGGAACTGTAAAGTAGTTCCTCCCCACACAGACACAAAAGCTGTGGTTCACTGTCTCAAAGATTACCAAATATGAGTAGGCAGTGATTCCTTTTACGGGATCTTAAGGGAGTAGGAGGAGAATACACACACACACATACATATATATACATGTATGTGTGTGTATGCACATATGTATATGTGTATATATGTATGTGTGTGTGTGTGTATGTACATCCAAAGATGAAAGCACTTCAAGAAACTCACCACAGGTTCAATTTTCATCACACAAGGAAAGAGCCATATGCACTTAAGCCATTTCTCTTTCCAGCATGCCTCCTGACATGAATCAGCATTTTGGGGGTGGGGATTAAAAAGTCCTTGTAAACAATCTTCTCTCACATGATTTAATGTTGTGAGAAGATGACCATGCAATCTGAATAACCAAGCTCCAAACACTTGACACAGATTGCCAGAGTTTTAAGTTATCATCAGATAACAAAGTTAGCTGGACATACATATCAAGATCTGCACAGTTATTACTGTGTTATATGACAAATGTCTGGCATTTGTGTGACTTTTCATAGCCAAAATAAGAACTTCTGGAGTTAACCCCTTGGGGGTGAATGTAAGATGGGAAAGTTAAAATAAAAAGATGTTCTGATCGGTCAGAAGACATCTGACTGATACCAAACCCAGAGAACCTGGCAGGGTGGCCCAAAGTCCAAGAGTGGGCTTTTCCCTTTTGTTACTCCCAGGACCAGTCACTGGGTAAGAAACTGCACATTGCAAATATGAATGTGTGCTTGATGGATATCCTCTGTATGCTCTCTAGATCCACTTTCTACCATTTCCTACCTTCTTTTCTGTCCCTGGAAGGGACTCTTCTGGATGGCATCAACTAGCTGCTTTGCCCTCTGCTTTGTCCTAGGGTCCAGTTAGAGGGAGGTATCCATAGGAGATTAGCAGGCAAGAGAAGAGTGAGGTAAGGGTATGTATTTTCCCGGCTCCTTCTCAGCCAGATCTCTGTACACTGCTGTGTCCCTCTACCAAAAGCAGCTACAAATACCCACTCTGAATTAGAGTTTTGGTAATGGCTCAATCACTTGGCTTCTTTAGGCCAAGGAATGGGACAGTTTCCCAGGGTTCCTAGTCATGGGGTACTGAACCATCCCTTATTCCTGTCCACACTTTTTGTAAAGAGTTCTTTCATTAAACTCTCATCAATATCCCAGTTAGATTTGCCATCTTTTTCCTGCCAGAACCTGATTGATGGTGGAAGTTTACACAGACTTTAGTATAAGGCAATGGGTGTGGGTAAATACGTAAAGTAAATAAATACTGTAGATTAAAAAGCTATAGATAAATAGCTAAAATGTATAGCCTGACCAGGGCTCCAGAGGCTGCATCTGTTGTCTCTAGCCCAGTGCACAGTAAATAGAAGGGGAAGGCTCCAAAGATCACCAATACTGTGGAAACCAAGTCTAAAGGCCATCTCTACTTCAAGAGTAGGTAACTCTACTTCCCTCCAGAAAACCACAGTCATTACCAATTCATTTGTTTTCTTTCTTTCTTTCTTTTTTTTTTTCTGAGTTGGAGTCTCACTCTGTCGCCCAGGCTAGAGGGCAGTGGCACACTCCCGGCCACCGCAGCCTCGACCTGCTGGGCTGCGGCGATCCTTCCGCCTCAGCCTTCCGAGTAGCTGGAATTACAGGCACGTGCTACCACGCCCGGCTGATTTTTTGATTTGTTGTAGAGATGAGGTCTCCCCAAGTTGCCCAGGCGGGTCTCGAACCCACGGGTTCAGGCAATCCACTCACCTCAGCCTCCCAAAGGCGCGGGATTACAGGCTGAGCCACCAAGCCCGGCTTCATTTGTTTTCATATGATCAAGCATTTATTGTAGAGATGAGGTCTCGCCAAGTTGCCCAGGCAGGTCTCGAACCCACAGGCTCAGGCAATCCACTCACCTGAGCCTCCCAAAGGCGCGGGATTACAGGCTGAGCCACAGAGCCTGGCTCATGCAGCAGTATATAGTGACACTAACTGTAAAATCTTTCTGTATGCATGAAATACTGACATATTATCAAAACATTTATGTTTTCTTTCTAGAAACTGGATAAAATTTATTTATCGTCCTCTTTGAAAAATATCTTAATAGTGTTTTATGTTGACTTTTAAAACAACTTTAATTTAATTTCATTAATATCAATTTCTACCTGAAAAATGATTAATCCCAAACAGTTTAATGTGAGATCAGTTGTGAAACATTAGGTTAAGATGAAAAATCCCAGGTGAAGACAAAAGACCTATGATTACAATGTCAAAAGCTTGGTGAAAAGTTGCTAGCATATTTCTGCTCCCTAAAGGCTCCACATTTCTCTATTACTAAGTTTACCACAAAAGTAATTTTTATAAACGTTTCAGATTCTGAGGAATTAATTTTGTCTAAAATGCTTCTTTCAATTATGAAAATGCATTCTTTCATAATTAGTCAAGTAATCATTTCTAACTTGATATTATGAATGAAACTCAGATTTAACAAAATTAATTATTCATAGCTCCATGTTCTAAGATTTCCTGCTTCTGATGAGGTAACTTAAACTCAGAAAAGGCAATTTTTCTATTCATCTGCTAATTCCTCACAGGATGGGTGCTTTTTTTTTTTTTTTGAATTGGAGTCTCACTCTGTACCTCAGGCTGGAGTTCAGTGGCATGCTCACGGCTCACCACAGCCTCGACTTCCTGGGCTTAGATGATCCTTCTGCCTCAGCCTTCCAAGTAACTGGGACTACAGGCACATACCACCACACCTGGCTAATTTTTTAATCTTCTTGCCTCTGCCTCTCAAAGTGCTAGGATTACAGGCACGAGCCGCTGTGCCTGGCATGGATGTTCTTTTTATTGCTGCATTATATTTGGGTGAAATCAAGACCCTACTTCTCTAATAAATGTTTTTACTAATTCTATATTACTAACTAATATACTAAGAAGGAAATTATTTCTAAAGAGCCCAAATGACTTAGAATATATAAAATAAAAATACATTATTATTATCAAGCATACAAAGTAATCAGTGAAAAAGACTGAGGCTACAGACCAAAATGTTAAAGAGGTTATCTCATGGTGATATGATTATGAGTGGTGTTATCTTCCAAATGTTCATCAATGAACAAATGTTCTTATTAATAAAAATAAATACTGCCAAAGGAAAAGCATTCACAATTATTTATAACATAAAGTATGAATCAGAATACAAAGTGGTATGCTTGCTTACAACCTTGTAGAAGTATGCATATATATAGACAAAAATAAAGGTTGTAGAAGAGAAAATAACTGATTTGCAGAGTACTGAAATGGTGGATGTGTTTTTCTCTCTGTTAGTGTCAGAATGTTGTCTAAGGGGAAGGGGAGGTATTATATAAAGGAATAAGGTTACAGTAAAGCCAACTCATCAGGAGAAGTGGAAAGTAGAGCACGGACAACGATGAGCAGTGTAGTCTCACAGTACATGTAATAATATGTGATCCAAGAAAACTGTTCCACCGATTGTGGTTTACTTTCTTTTTCTTGTCTTTTACGGGAGAATGGGTAAAAAGGTTTGGCAGAGATGTGTAAGGTAAAAGTGCTGGAAAATAGGTTGCTGAAGCCATTTTTCTCTACTGTAAGACAGTGGGGATGTTAAACAGGCAAACACTGAAATAGGGATAATCTGGCTCTATCTGCCCCTAACTAGTTATCCTGTAGGAGGTGTCAACTAGAAAGTTCTGAAGATTTTATTCAGAATACCTTATCTTATAGCTCTAGAGATGGCAAAGGAGACTTTATAGCTGAATAAAACTTCAGCTATCTGAAATCCTTTGGGTATAAGTTACTTTGGTTAGTCAGCCGAATTTTCTGAATGTCTGGGGGCTTGTCTTTTAAAGTTTTTAAAAAGAATTTAAGATGGAAATATTTCCAAAATTTACCTTTTAGATTCAATGTATTTAATCTTTTTCTTAAAAAATGACCCAGGATTATTACATATATTGACTGCTGCATCATTAAGAGTCTATTGAGGTATATGCATGGCTCTTTTCTTCATATTTTTGGGTTAAGGATGACTTTTTATTTTAAGTTTTCTCTTTTCACATTAAAAAAATAATTAAGGAACAGGTTCTTAGTGAGCACTCAAGAACCATATTATGAGTAAAACACTGGATTTTTAGTGCACAAATTCTGAAACATCAGATTTTGTCTTTCTTCCTCATTTTCACCTATAGTTCAGATAGATGCAGCTGCTAGACAGCTGAAATATAGTTAAGTGAGGGGTCACCAGACAAGAAAAGATAACTTGATCATCGTTTCTCAGTGTAATTCCACTATTTCTTCTTTCACTGAATTACCTTTGGTCATCGGCTCCATTTTGACTGTTATTCAAGACAATTCTCCAAAGATCTGAGGATACTAGTTTCTTCTGGTCATTCACAAGATTGATATCTGGCAACTGCAGTTCACAAATTTTGCTTTCAGACAGACTAAATTCTCGAAATGCAACAAACACCTGCTGGAGTTCATCCCAGTATTCCAAACTACAAGGAACCTATGTTAAAATTAAAAAAAAAAAAAAAAGATTTAAAAAGTTTCAAATAGAATCTATGCTTCTAAGTTCATTGAAGTTCAAGTTAAACTTTCAGGTAAATTATAACAGTAAGACTTTTAAAGGAGGCATATGACTTTTATAAGGTTACAAAAGACAGTAGTTTAGAATTTCTTTTCATAGTTACCATATATTTATCTCATTTATTTTAAAAGACTTGTTCAAGAATAATACATGAAAACAGTGAAATATTTTTTAAAATAAAAGAGAATGGAGAACAAATTCTATAAAGTATTAAATGTTCTATAAAGCTATAGTAATTAAAAGATAAGGTTGGAGTAGTAACAAACACATAGATTAAAATAATAGCATAGAAAAATGGAGAAAGAGGTAGGTACAGATGAAATTTTAGTATTCAAGGTGACATTTCAAATAAGTAGGGAAGTCTATGGCCATAACACCCTGTACATGCCTGATCTCATCAAATAAGTAGGGGGAAGATAGAAAGAGGTTGCAAGAACTGACCAGTCACTTGGCAAAACTAAGGTGGGTCCTTATATCATTCTTTACACAAAAGTAAATCCCAAAAGGATCAAAATGTTAAAGGCTAAAAAGTGAAAGCATAAGAAAAAAAAAATCTGTTAATAGTTTTAAACATTTTATATATTAGTGTAATCTTTTCTGTGTATAGTACGAAACCAATGATAAAATCAAATTTCAAAAAGCAAACTAGGATAAGACAGGTAATTTTCAATGGCAGGTGAAGAAATATTCATTCTGATAGCAGAGAGATCTTACAAATCCACGAGAAAATAATAAGTAAGCATGCAGAAGAGTAGATTTGCTAAAAAAAAAAAAAAAAAGAGGTGGATTTGACAAGTGACATGCTCTTCAACTGTGTCTAATATCTACTGCATGCATAGCATCACCTGGGAGCCCTTTGCATTGCTCTTGAGGGACTTGGGAACTGGGAGAACCAATGTAAACTTGATGCTCATGCTGCTTCTCTGCTTCTGACCCAGGTGTGTCTTATGTGTTCTGCAAGCATTCATGAAACGCTAATAGGATAACTTACTAGCTTGCATTGGGTAAAAATCCCAGGCCATGACAGCAATTAGTTCACAGAAGAAATGTAACCAGACAGTAAACATGAAAAGATACTAAACTTTAGTAATACTCAAAGAAATGCAGATTAAAGCGATAATATGATATTTTCTTTAATTGGCAGTTTAAAAAGACTGACATTTCAATTTCTATACTGGTATGGGGAAAAAACATTCCTACACAGCATTTTTGAAAGGTAATTTGGTCATATCTATTAAATGCTTGTAATTTTTTTGCAAGCATACAAGCTTAGAAGCATACTAGGAAGTATGCTTCTAAGAATTGATTTTACAGAGTCTTCCATGCAAATGTAAGTAGACATATATTATACATATGTGTGTGTATTTACTTCAGTGCTGTGTGTATTAGTAAGAAAAGTGGAAAAAACTCAAATATCTATCAAGTGAAGCTTGGTTAAATATAACATGCAGATTTATATAATTAATTTCTATATAACCATTAAAATGAATAACGAATATCTAAGTATACTAACACCAAACACATCCAGGATATATTACTAAATTAAAATATTTAGTTTTAAAATATGAACATGTAGGTGGATCCTACTTGTCTTAAAAAAAACAGTGTGCTCTGATGTATTTTCTCTTTTGGAAGCAATCCCTATTTGTCCTCCTTAAGCTGATAATTGCCTTTCTTGTGACATCTCTATACTTAGAATACTCCTTTATCACAGAAGTTATACTTTGTAATTACTTATTTACTTGTTTGTCTTTTTTAGTAGATTCTAAAATCCCCAACTGCAGAAATGGCACATTATTTAAAAAAATATTCTTAGCACCTAATATCGTTTTGGGGAAATAATAAGATCTCAAAAAAGATTTCCTGAATGAAAAGATTTCTCCTTAACTTTTCTTTCCTGAATAAGTGATTTTTAATTCTTCTATGGAAATAAATGTTACCTTTACCTATAATGAAGTTTCTTTTCTTTAAATAGTGACTAAAGCATCCATGTATGGAGAGAGGCTAGATGGAGAAGGGAAAAGAAGATGGATATGCAGAAGAGACAGGCTAAGTATAATGAAATAGAAGCACATATTCTAGTTTGTGGTAAGTATTATATCCATAGCATTCCATTTTTAGCTATTATTTCCTGAAATTATCTCTTTTCTTGCTTTTTATGCTATAATTTTCTCTAGTTTCCCTTCTCTGTGTCATTGTTCCTACATTTTCTCTCAACCTGAAATGCTTGTATGCTCTACTTTCTGTCTCTTGTCTAAATCCTTACCATCTGTCAAGGGCCAAATCAAATGCCTCCTTTCTCTGAGCCTTTTCACCTCTACCAATGGAAAAATTATTTCTCTTTTCTAAACATCAACAATTTCTTAAAATGGGAATCTGTTCCATATCTCTTATCATTGTATATCTCATGCTACAGCTATTTCTATACATGCCATCTTCTCTGGTGGACACATTCCTTGAAGGAATGGTTTATATTTGGCTAAGCTTTGAATCTTCACAGCACCTGACACAGTGTATATAGCAAATGTTCAAAAAGAGTTGCTGAATGAATGAATGAATAATTCATGAATGAATGGATGAATATACATGCATATTGGCTGCTTTAGCCCATCTCTGGTGCATTAAAGATTCTCCACAAAGAAGTACAGAAGATGAAAGCGAGAACTTTGGAGTCAGACCTATTGGGATTCAAATCCTAGTTCCATTAGCTATAACTTCTTAGGAAAATTAATTTTTCTAACACCAGTTCCCATATCTCTAAAAATGGGATAATAATATAGTTACCTTCAAGATTTTTGTTAAGATTAAGTGAGACAGAGTATTTTATTTGCTATCACATAATAAGGGTTTAAGAAAGATTAACTATTGGGTATTTACCATTCTTACGCTCTAAGATCACTTTTGAAGTTTGCATGTTATCAAAATTAGACAAGTTGTAAGAGTCCTACCTGTTTGATTTCTTAATAATGTTTTGAACTTCTGGGAAGAAAATAATAAACCCTGAACCTGGACATTCAGGAATAATGTAACCATAGCTCAATATGATTTTCTGCTGTACACCTGTTAAAATGTGGCACTCTATGTATGCTATGACATAAGGGATAAAGGAATATCTTACTGTTTAGCTCCTCTCTGAACTGCCACTGAGTCAGCCCTTTGGCTTAAGACATTCCTAACTAGGGGTAAAAGTGGAGCATGAATCCCTAGACAGACACAGAAAAATCTCAATGGAAAAGGGCAAATAAGCTTAGAAAGAGCATATTAATAAATTATTGTAGATATAGTTACCTTGTTGTGCTATCAAGTACTAGAACTTATTCACTTTATCTAACTATGCCTGTATGAAAATATCATATGTACTCCATAAATATATACAACTATTATGTACCCAAATTAAAAATTAAAAAATACACGATCATTATAGTAAGTTGTGTAAAACATAAGTACAACAAAGAAAATAAAAACTGCTTATAATCTCTTCCCTCTAAAAAAGAAAAAGTATATTAATTTACCTATTGTGTTTTGTAATACAAATAATGGAATGTAAAATTCAATGTAATCTTTTTGGAGGAGAAGTTACACAGAAAGTAGGGGGAAAAAATACTTGTTTCTGGCATTGTCTCCAGAAGTTCTAGATTAAAATTAACATATAATATTTATGAAAATTAGCTGTCACATTGGAAGGCAGGCTAGGACCTTAAGGAAAAAGTACTAGTAAGTTTTGAAGTACAAGGCGAGGGGTGGAGCAGGTCCATGACATAAAGCAGCCCAAGCTGGTAACCACTGTGGGAAGCCATTAGGCAGTACAGGCTTACCAACAGTGAGGCTTAGGAAAGCAGGACTCATGGGAGTTCAGAATAACAGATGTGGAAGAATGCCAAAGTAAAACTTTATTTAGTTCACAATTTGTGTAAGGCTGACTTTGTGGTTACATACTTCAATTAGAATATTCTTGGCTACTCTGAAAATTCAGAAAACAACAGACAACTACTACAGAAATATATCCCCAAATATATATCATTTATGTGTTTGTTAGATGTTTCCTTTACATATCCTGTTTTTCTCAGTTAATAAAGGGGGTATTAATACATTTACTACAAATTAATTCCCTTTAAAAATTTTAAATTATATGCCTATAAATACATTTACAAAAGTCATACATACACTTATCCTTTTTCCCATTATAAGAATATTCAGTCATTCCATGATATCCACGGGGAGTAGTTCCAAAATCTTTCACAGATACCAAAATCTGTGGATCCTCAGGTACCCGATATGGTGCAGTATTTTCCCATAGCCTATGCACATTCTCCCTCATACTTTAAATCATCTCTTGATTCCTTATAGTACCTAATACAATGTAAATGCTATGTAAATGGTTGTCTTACTGCATTGTTTAGGAAATAATTATAAGAAAAATGAGTCTGTACATATACAACAGAAATTTTTTTCTTGAGTATTTTTGATCTGTGATTGGGTGAATCCATGGATGCAGAACCCACAGACACAAAAGGCTGACTATATTTGTCTTTAATACTTCAAAACAAAAGCTATTAACAACACTGTGTATAGTTAGTATTTTAAAGGTATTTTATTCAAATATATATTGAGTCATAAATTTATTTTAAAAATAGATATCTCTATACTATCTTATTCCTCCATTCTAAAAAAAAGTTCATCAGTGTCATACTCAGAAGAAAATTCTGACTCTGCCACTTAAATCACTGCTCTATGACCTTGGCTAACTGATTTAATGATTTTGAGCCTCAGTCCCTCATTTGTAAGATGAGAATAATAAAACCTATATTGTTTTTAGGTCAAATTAAGGATATTGAATTTTTAATCTTAATATCAATAGGATATCTTTGAAGAGTTTTAGGTGAAGAAATGATGTATCAAAGATTTTTCAAAGATTCTGG